CCCCAAAACCCCAAAACCCCAAAACCCCAAAACCCCGAATCTATACGCAAATATTGAACTACAGATAGAAATATTAATCTATTTCCAGCCTCTCATGGCTCCTTTAGTAATGAACCCATCAGATTTATTCAAGTCATAGGCTCCTGGGTCGGGGCCTTGAGTCTTCTTCTTAATAAAGATTGATTCCTTCTTTCCCTTACTAAACGAGAACGAGTAGTTATGATTAGGGGTGATATTAGTCAGCCCCTTTGGAGAGTCGTAGTTTCCTGCAGAAGGCTTATCATTCTTCTGAATCTTTTCTATCCTGCCACACTTTAGGCTTGAGATCTTAAAAGCATTGATCCTTGGCTTAGTGATGTCCTATGGGTAATTAAGTATACCTACTATTTTGGGGAGATATAGAGGAACAGGGTTTTCAAGCTCTTTCCTGACAATATCATCTGTAAAGGATTTTAAATCTGCTTTCCTACAAAAATTTAGCTAGCTAAATACTTGTCTGAGTAATATCCCTTAATATGGGCTAAAAATTAGACGCCAGATTATACTCTTGTTTACTATGTTATAGCTGTTTGGAGGGGGAACAGCCTGTTTTCTTTTAGAGTGCTCTTCAAATAAAGTGATCCTACGTAAATTAAAAGACTATAATAACCTTGCACTTTTATTTAACGCTAATTTCGGAGTGGCCAACATCTTATCTGCTACATCATACTTGTCTGGGGAAGGGACCTTCTCTTTGTTTTTCTGGAGCTGAGTGAGCCAATCATTCCTTTTCTCATACATTCTTGGCTTCCGTGAATAATTATGAATCGCAAAATTAGTGGGGATTCTATATCCTACAAATCTCAGATGATTCACTTACCATCAATGCCGAAAGCTCCAGAGTCTCGCTTAGTAGCTTTGACCATATCATCAATACTAATCTTTGAGCTAGAAATTGGCAGAGTATCGAGCTGCTTCTTAGCAGATTCCTTAAATATATTATTCTTTCTATCTATAAAAATATCGGCTAGACCATACCGTTCCTCAAAGTTGCCATTGAGGATGAACTTGTCGGAGACATGTCCCTCTTAAAATCCATACTAGTGTCAATCTCCATTGGGCTATAATACTGAGGTTTAGAAGGAATTAAGAGAAGGAATCAGTAATTTCCTGAGCGTGCGTACCTTTTCCTGACTATTTTATTTCTATTAATTAAATATAACTAGGGGTTTTGGGGTTTTGGGGTTTTGGGGTTTTGGGG